TACCTTGTTACCTTCGATCCTCAGACGCACAGTTTGGGCCCCCTACCCAAGATCGGCCGGTTTTGGCACCGATAGGGAGACTGAAGGAAATATGCCCTAGAGGCAATAATAAAGTTGTTATTTTATATTTCCTTATTCATGATAAATGTTTATTATTCATGCTAGAATTGTGTTGATCCAAAACCTAAATACATGTGTGAATACATAAACAAACACCATGTCCCTAGTGAGCCTCTACTTCACTAGCTTGTTGATCAAAGATGGTTAAGGTTTCATAACCATGGACATGAGTTGTCATTTGACAATGGGATCACATCATTAGGAGAATGATGTGACGGACAAGCCCCATCCGTTAGCTTAACATTTTGATCATTCAGTTTTATTGCTATTGCTTTCTTCATGTCAAATACATATTCCTTCGACTATCGGATACCGAAGGAATGCCTTGTGTGCTATCAAACCTCACAACGTAGCTGGGTGATTATAAAGATGCTCTGCAGGTATCTCCGAAGGTGTTTGTTGAGTTGGCATAGATCAAGATTAGGATTTATCACTCCGAGTATCGGAGAGGTAACTCTAGGCCCTCTCGGTAATACACATCATAAGCTTGCAAGCAAACAACTAAGGATTTAGTCACGACGTGATGTATTACGCAACAAGTAAAGATACTTGCCGGTAACGAGATTGAACTAGGTATGAAGATACCGACGATCGAATCTCGGGCAAGTAACATACCGATGGACAAAGGGAATTACGTATGTTGTCATAACGGTTTGACCGATAAAAGATCTTCGTAGAATATGTAGGAGCCAATATGGGCATCCAGGTTCAACTATTGGTTATTGAGCGGAGAGGTGTCTCGGTCATGTCTACATAGTTCTTGAACCCGTAGGGCCCGCACACTTAACGTTCGATGACGATATAGTATTATAGGAGTTATGTGAGTTGGTGACATAATGTTGTTCAGAGTCCCGGATGAGATCACGGACATGACGAGGAGTCTTGAAATGGTCGAGAGGTACAAATTGATATATAGGATGATAGTATTCAGACACCGGAAGTGTTTCGGGGGTACCAGATACTTATAGGGTCACCGGATGGGGTTCCGGGCACCCCCGGCAAAATATATGGGCCTTATGGGCCAAGAGCGGAAACGCACCAGGCACAAGGGGTTGGTGCACCCCCCATATGGTCCGGCCAAGGAGGAGAAGGAAAGAGGGGAAGGGAAAGGAAAGAGTGGCATAGGATTCCCCCTTCCTTCCCTCTCCCCCTCTCTTTCCTTCCCCATCCGACATATATGGCAGGGGGCTAGGGAGGAGCCCAAGTAGGATTCGGTCTTACTTGGGGCGCCTCCTGGCCTCTCCCCTCCCCTCCCACCTATATATATGTGGGGTGGCGCCTAGCACACCCAAGTCAATTGTTTAGCCGTGAGCGGCGCCCCCCCTCCACCGTTTACATGCCCGGTCATATTTTCATAGTGCTTAGGCGAAGCCCTGTGAGGATCACTTCACCATCAGAGTCACCATGCCGTCATGCTGACGGAACTCATCTACTACCTCGATGTCTTGCTGGATCAAGAAGGCGAGGGACGTCACCGAGCTGAATGTGTGAAGAACGCGGAGATGTCGTGCTTTTGGTACTTGATCGGTTGAAGCGCGAAGAAGTTCGACTACATCAACCGCATTGAGAAACTCTTTGACTTATGGTCTACGAGGGTACGTAGACACACTCTCCCCTTCGTTGCTATGCATCCCCATAGATAGATCATTGCGTGTGCGTAATTTTGTTTTGTTTTCCATGTAACAATTCCCAACACCTTAGTCGGACGGGGAGTGGGACATGTTCGCGTCTTCTCCGTCGCCATGTCCGGCCTCTTCTCCGCCGCCATGTCTGGCCTCTTCTCCGCCGCCATTATCGGTCATCTCTTCGTCTGGCCCCATGTCATCATTGGCTGCCCCATTGGCGTCACCATCATCATCATCTTCACTTATCCATCGATTATAGCCATCCATGAAACCAGTCATGAGCAGGTGCACCTTCAAACGACCATTCTTAGAGGGGTCGAGCCAGAGTCCTCCTTTGCATCTTCAACACGGACATAATATCTCCTTCCGGTTATTTTCATACATGTTTTGCACCGCCGATCGCAACATCTTTCCACCATTGTTCCACTGACCTTCTTGATCGCCTACGCGGTATAATAAGCAAAAGGATTATAAAAATGCATGCATGCATGCATCAAAGTCATACAAAAATTCGACATGACCTTCCCTAAATATAGGACATATGGAGTTTGCCTGAAATTCACCGAAACGGAAATAAATCGACATTTCGACAAAATACAGGCAACTCTCATGTCACGCCCAATTCGGGAAATACCGTCCGGTTAGGTCATATCGCTCACGCGCGCGCACACACACACATTACCATTTAGGAAATGCACATTTTTTTTCATTCTCACCTACTTTGAGAGAAATCGAGCACGATGATGAGGTCGGTGTTACACACCTAGGGATCGAAAGTGGACAAAGATGGCTTTACTTCATTAAATGGATAGATCTATTAGGAAAGTAGATAGATCATTTCATTAAATGGGTAGATCTAGCTAGTTGGGAAGGAAATGGCTCTAACTAGATAGCTAGTGGAGAGAGAGGAGAGAAAAGTTAGGAAGAGAGAAGAAAGGGTTGCATTAATGGAGATGGTGTAGCTAGGGACATCAAAGGAGTGAGAAGAGAGGTAGGAGAAGGAAGAGATAACAAAGCTAGCTAGTAGTAATGGGGGAGAAACAAGTGAGGTTGAAGCAAGTGAGGGAGAGAGGGGGGGATTGGAAAAGGTGGCTGCTGCGCCTTAGCAGCACCACTGTTTATAGGGAGGCGCTACCGCTAAGTGTGGTAGCAGTAGCGATCCTCTGCATGTCGCGCTGCTGCTAAGTGGGGACCACCATGTGGCATAGTGCAACCTTAGTTGCAACGGTTTGTCTATACCCCACGCTACTGCTATGTATTTAGCAGTAGCGCGCACCCACAGAGCAGCACTGCTACTATTCGTAGCCTGGTGGGTACAGTGGGGACCACCTAGCAGCAGTGCTCTTTGTACCCCCACGCTACTGCTAAAGAGATAGCAGTAGCGCTTGCTTACGACCAGCGCTACTGTAAAGTAGCAGTAGTGTTGTATCTAATCAGCGCTTCTGTTAAGCCTTCACCTATGAGGTTTTTCCTAGTAGTGTGTGGGCCTTATCCGTGGAGCTCCAACATATGTGCAAGGGTCGATAGCGGTAAAGGAGCTGGGTGACCCAACTACTCCCATAATCAAGCTTCACACCATCACACGAAATCCTGCCGTCTCTGTCAATTTTTTTGTGAAATATGCTATCAATGAATGTGAAATTGTGAATAACTTGTGTACTATTTGATCTACCCATTGGGTACCCAATGGGTATGAGTACCCGTCGAGTATGGGTACGGATAAAGTTTCATAGCCATGGGTACATGTATGAGTACAGTTTTGTACCCACTAACTATATAGGTATGGGTATTGTATTGCTCTACTTGTCCCATACCCTACCCATTGCCATCCTTACCAAAATCTTGCCACAAAATACAAAACTAGCCCTTAATTTGCAGGTAAGAGAGGGAGAAGACATGGAAATGATTAGCATACAAACACATCTTAGATGCAAAAATAAAATAAAATATTAAATGTTGATTGTCAGATCACAGATTAATGTTTTTTTTGGAAGACAAAAATTACAGATAAATGTCTCGGATTGGCTACGCTGGAGTTGCTAGAGCTTCTATGTTAATTTTGGGAAAACCACTAACTAACAGCTATTTCCTAACTTAACATAGAAAGTTTGTTGACACAATGACCCTGTCAAAACACATATTGTATTAGGTAGTCTTATAGAGGAAGTACTATATACATAACGAGTCTCTCCGTCATGTCCCATGCCCATTTGAGATATCCACCCGTGATTTGACACCCTATCGTAACTTTTCTGTTGTTAAGGCATCTCAAATGCTGACCATCAAAACACATGTAACTATCTGGATATATTTTGTTATTCAATG